TAAGAAAACCGTGCAAATCACCTATTTCATACCACTTTTGTAGCAGAGGTGGTACAAAAACCCCTCAAATTAAAAAATTGTTGGTGGAAGTCATTTCTAATTCATTAAATATTGGACTTACACATGTTACTGTTATCTGCGATCAAAAGAATTCAGCTGTAATAAATATGCTTATAAAAGATACAGAAGCAGAATATCTGAGACAAGGCAATGGAAACCAATATAGAAGTAACTCCTTTGAGGTCAAAGGATGTATTCTATACCCTTTGTTTGATCCTCCTCATCTTTTGAAGGGGATGAGGAATAATCTTATAAAAAAGGATTTAATATATTTTACAAATAATGTTAAAAAAATGGCAAAGTGGACCCATATCCAAAAATTATATGAATACGATAGTGAGGCATCAGATGGCTTAAGAGTTCTTCCCCATATATCTGATGAACATATATATGAAAACAAAATAAAGAAAATGAAGGTTAAAATGGCAGTACAGATATTTAGCCAAAGAGTAGCAGCAGCACTTCAATTAATTCATCGTATAGGTAAATTATTATTACTTTTTCATGTTCTGTATTATTTTATCTTACTATTTTTAGATACTGAAAGGAGAATTGGAGAAAATGTTAATGAAACTTCAAGCTTATTGTATTTTTTTGATCGTCTTTTTGATTCATTGAATGGATCGAATAAACTTCCTGATAAAGGAAAAGAATTAAGATGTGGCCTTTCTGATAAATCTGGTCATTTGCATTTTTGGAATCAAGAAGCACTTCCCCTTCTTCAGACCATGAAATTTATAAAAAGGTCAAATCATGATCAAACAAGACCACCTAGCTTAAAAAATTGGAGTTTTAATATACAAAATACAAAGGCAATTTGGAGTTATCTAAAGAATAAAGGATTTCAATATTTGTTAACAAGAAGGCTAAATCAGGATCCTTTGGAAAATACTTTTGGCCAATTAAGAAGTTTTGGGGCACTTAATACTAATCCCTCAGCCTCCCAATTTACAGGGTTTTTAAAACCTTGTTGGTTAATTCCATTATGCCTTTAGATAGGTATAAAAAAACATTTAACTGTGAGAAGGATGATTCTTTTGATGTTTTTGTGCCAATGGCAAAACTTTTTAATTCAAACATATTACAATCTCCAGATTGTGATGATTATACTTATGCTGGTCCAATAACAATATCAGAAATTCCAATTGTAAAGAAAATTCAGGAACTTTCCATCAGTTATGTTGCAGGTTTTATTTTAAAAAAAATTAAAAAATTCATTCATTGTTCAGATTGTAGAAAAGCAATGTTTTCTGCCAATTATACATCTGAAAACTATATGATGCTGGATTTAAGGGAATATACTAGTGGTATTCGAAGATTATGTTATCCTACTTCTTGTTTTGTTGAATCATTTTATCATATTGTAAAAATTATTCACTTTTGTTTAAATGAACAACCACATTCAAAATTTTTAATAAATACAATAGAATCAATTGTACTTGATAAGGTAAGTTTCGAATTTATCACTTGTAAGTCCCATAAAATTAATTTAATTAAATTAGTATTAAAATTTTCAATTAAAACCATAATACATAACTGGTGTAAGGATGTTAATCGGATTCTGCAAGGTAAAAGCATGCATTACTCTGGAACAAATAAACAAAAATCATGGCAAATAAGATGTATGTAGGCAGAGTAAAAAGGAAATGTATTAAAAGACCTGAATTTATATTATAATTATATGCATATAAATTGGTTAATAATGTGGGTATACCCTTCATTATGTTTTCGCTTTCTAATAGAATTTTGTGCCTGAAATATAAATTAAACTATGGTCCTAATAATGTTCGCAGATATTTTCTAAAAAGATGCTTTACACTATGTGTGTATCTTTATGTTATTATTTATTTAACCATACTAAAACCATCATTAAACTGTTCCATCATATGCTTTCACTTGGAAAGATAGTAGTTATATTACTCCTATTTTAAAGAAATGATGATGTGGTTATGCTATCTTAAATCTTCAACCCCTAAGTTATTTCAGTGGCTATTGTTCCACACCTTTTAATTGGTACTGTAATGTTCTGTTGATCAGCCACCAACATGGATTAGGAAGTAAAAAGTCTATCTTAACTAATTTGATTATCTATCAAAAACACATTGTTTCAGCTTTCAAAAAGGAGGTTCAGGTATGTGAAATATATATTAACTTTTCAAAGTTAATTGTTTCATCTGATGGCCCTTATTTGGGATCTTTACTGCCCAATATGTCTATTAATAATGTACCTTTAATAATTAAGTATAACAGGTTTTTATTTGTTGCTGATGATCTCAAACTTTATGTGGAGATAACTAGTGTAGCTGATTATTTTAAAATTCAAGACAGCCACAGGTGACTGTACCCATTATTATTTTTTTTTTGTGTTTTGGCTTGGACAATTGTCATTCAGCCAGTCTCAATCAAGATAAGTTTATTGATACAATTTGAGGTGTAGTGTGTGTGTGTGTGTGTGTGTAGAGTAATTGTCTTGACACTTAACAAAGTCGACGTCATTGTCTTTGCTAAGAGACGCTAATTGTATCCGAACGTCTGCGGTCCCTCCGGTGAGTACCGATCGCACAAGGATAGAAATTATTTTCATTCATTAATTTTTTAATAAACACCTACCATACACCACCAATTTTTAATATACACCAACAATAATAAAAATTTCTCCACCCAGGTGAGATTCGAACTCACGACCTTTAGGTTTAAAGGTAGGCGCTCTTACCACTGAGCCACAGAGGGGGTATACCCATTATTGATGTACATTTTTTTCATAGAATAAATCTCAATTGTTTTTTGACATTGAAATTTATATTTTTTTTAGGTATTTCCAAACGGCCTTTGAGTAGTTTATTTATTTACCATGTTAATATGCTAACTGTAGAAATCTTATATTTTTGTTCCTGTGTAAATGGTACATGCATAAATAAATAAATACATTCAAGTATCTACTAAAGCAACTAAATGAGTGAAATTAGAGATTTTGGTATCATATTTTTACTGATCATTAGTTGCACACATAAAAAATATATCTGTTCCATAGTATCCTATTTATCCCCATAATTGTTCATTATAATACCAGTCATTAATTTATATTCATTCTTATATAATGTGTATTATGTGCTCTTTAAATTGAAGATATATTTATATTTAATGATTTGTAAAAAATCACAAAAGTCAGATCAGGTTTTTATGTAATAAATGTACCAGTGATCCTATGTATGTACCAAATGAGGTCTATCAAGCACTACACAATAATCTTTACACTGCCACTGTTTTTTGTGACTATCCCAATCTTTTGATTGTGTAAATCATGACATTTTGATAAAAAAAAAACAAAATTTCTATGGTATTTATTTGAATTGGTTACAATTTTACTTAGAGAATAGGAAATAACTAGTTAGAGCAAATGATACAGTTTCTAGTCACAAAAGTGTTGTATGTGGAGTACCACAAGGTTCAGTATTGGATATCTACTTTTCCTTATCTTCATAAATCACATCACCAACTTAAAACCGATGGAAACATTTTTATTTTTGCTGATGATACCAGTATTACCTGGAGAAACTCTAATATTTCAACTCTTCATGCAGCTATAACTTCTGATCTATTTAAAATAAAAACCTAGTCAGACTCAAATTTACTCCCTTTTAACGTGGATAAGACAGTAGCATTATCCTATAAATCTCTTCAATCCTTGCTTCTTAATAATAGCCAGATCAGTATAATTGATTCTGTAAAATTTCTTGGTATTTTTATAGTCAGTAACCTTAAATGGTCCCTTCATATTGATTTGTTCAGTAAGAAACTAGCCTCACCTGCTATACAATAAGATCTGTTTTAAAGAAAATTTAGAATCTTCCAAAATAACATATTTGTCTTTGTTTGAGTCTCATCTTCGATATGGTCTTCATTTTTGGGGTTCTAGAACAGCTGCCCAATCTGACAGTTGTTTTTAAATTACAAACAAAAAAGAGCAATATGGTATCTTTTTGGTCTCGGTAGAATAACATATTGCAGAAAATACTTCAAAAATCACAAGATTTTAAGTCTTTCCTTCTTTATATATTTTAGAAACTGATTGCTTAATTCGTAAACGCCTACATGTTTTTTCAGCAAGACCTAATCATGACTACTACACCAGAAATTCAACCTTTAATGTGTATTTACTGATCCCGTCCACGGAGTTAGTAGAGAAATCTATATTATATTCAGTAAAAAGATTATAACCATCTCCCTTTGCAACTTAAATCTGCAACTTCTTTCCTTGAGTTCCGTAAAAGAACAAAATCCTATCTATCTGAAAGATCATATTATTCAGTAGAAGAGTTTCTTAACGAATAGTGTTATGTACAAGTAACTAAACAATTTGTATAAATATATATTTGAGTATCACATGCAGAAACTTGTATTAAAATGTATTAGTTCGTAAGGATTTATTATGCAATTTATTTAAATTTTGCAATACATTGTGTATTTTATTATCTTTTATTTTGTGATATTGACGATTTATGTAATTTCAGTAAATTTTAAATTGCTATTTTTCTGACTTTTTTGTAAGCTTTTTCCATAAAATTGTACAATTTTCAGTGATAATAGCATATTTTTATTCTATATTAAATTACAAAGTTGTTTTGCAAGTATTAAATAAATAAATAAATTACATTTTGTTTTATTTTTCCTAATTTGTATTGTGTATATTTGAAATTAAAAATGTCATGCATTTTTTTTTCAAATATACCAAATTATATTTAAATATTTTAAATTTTATTTAAATTTTCCCACCAAAATTAAAATTTGAATTTCCCGCGTAATTTCTCGCTTGAATTAGTTCCGATACTTATCTTATGGAGCGCTGAATTTCATATCCAACTAAAGTATTGTCGTTGGAACATCTAGGGAGGTAGGTGATCTGTGATCTCAACTATAATTTGACAGTTCCCTAACCTTAAAATTTTTCAAAACTTCAAAACTAACATGTGTTTATTAATGTTATGGATTTGTTATATGAATACCGAAGTGTAATACTAAAATAAATCTGTTTTACAAAAATAAATCAATATACAGAATGTCGGCGTTAACTGAAGAGGAATTGTTTTGTGACGCTGAAGAAGAGTGTCAAATAATTGAAAAGGTAAACATAAAATCTGATGAAGAGTATGCAGGAGATGATTACGATGACGACTACGAAGAGGATATTGATTATAATAGTGAAGAAGAGTATTGGCAACAAAATTCCAGCCATTCTAATCAACAGCAGTCATCTGGCAAAGTCAGTAATTACCAGCCAAGCGAAAATTTATTTAAAAAGTATACCAATAAAATTAATGTTGATAAGTATGAAGTGCATGCTCTTCCTCAACACACTACAAACTTATTAATGGAAAATCAAAAGCGTATGGAGAATGAAAGAAACCGTACAAAAGATAAACATGATAGGGCAACAGCAGAACAAGTTATGGATCCCCGAACAAGAATGATCTTATTTAAATTATTAAATAGAAACCTAATCTCAGAAATAAATGGATGTATATCAACCGGTAAAGAAGCAAATGTCTATCATGCATCTTCTAAAACTGACCAAGACTTTGCAATAAAAATCTACAAAACTTCTATCCTAGTGTTCAAGGATAGAGATAAATATGTTACAGGAGAGTTTAGGTTTCGTCATGGTTATTGCAAACATAATCCAAGAAAAATGGTTAGGACTTGGGCTGAAAAAGAAATGAGAAATTTGGTTCGAATGCATTCCAATGGTTTAAATGTTCCAGAACCAATTTTATTAAGGTCACATGTGCTGGTGATGACTTTTATTGGCAAAGAAGGTAAGTTCATATTATTGTCTTTTTAGTTAATTTTATTCATATTAGGATTAAAAAGCTACTTAACTGTAGTATCCCACATTTCCAATCTCTTAGGTAATATAAATAAATTCATAATATAATTACATTTCAAGTCTAGATTGAAAACTCCTAACATAGTTTATATAATTTCTATATTCCTTGATTGTTCAACTATCAATCTAGCCCTTTGAAATTATATATTAATTTGATCTAAATTGGCTTAACACATTTTAAAGTACAGTAGGGTGATTTCATCGGTACACCGGCCACCACTAGTAGTCGGCCAAAAACTGGTAAAACTAAAATAACTTTATTTTTAAAATATAGATTTGTAGTACTATTCATAACTCCTATATAGAGGCCATTAGTTTCCTTACAAAAGTTATAAAGTTTCCATCCAATAACTGACCATCTGAAAGCGTTAGCCTATGCTTAACCTCGCTTGTGGTATTGTAACAACAAATTTATTATTGAGCAAGAAGTGAAAATTAAGTGACAGCAATTTTTAAAGGTATGATTTATCATTACCTAATATTATTTATGATTTTTTTGTTTGTTTGTACCAGATAGTGTAATGTGGAATGAGTGGAATTAGTTGAAAAAATTGATAAATATTAATTACTGTCAAATTATAACGAAGGGCCGCTTACTAGACAAAAAGAATTGTTATTATTTAGTTGTCGGCCAGGGTGGCTGACTATTAACTTGAATAAGACGGTAGCATTTCTATTCTTTTCAACATACACAATGTAAACAATACAAACAATACAGTTAATATAGAATTTAGAAGTCGGCCATCTATAAGTTTTCTATAACATGCTAATTTGGGATTTAAACTTAGTGGCTGACTACCAGTCTGAAGTGGTGGTGTTAATTTAACTAGTTATCTGTCATATGTTTACTTCTTCAAAGTTATACATGGTTGAGGGTTTAAATTTAAGTTTTCTCTTTTTTTATTAATTTTAGACCATGGCCACTTCTTCCTAAAGAAAGTTCCATCTTTATACCCAAGATACTCTTCAAAAAGCCATTGCAGATATAAGAAACGGCAGAAAAATATGTGAAGTTTGTAGAAGGTACAATATTCCTAGGTCTACAGTACTGGACCTTATTAGTGGTTGAGTTGGAGAAAAGTGGCAGATGGGTCCTGATCCAGTTTTAACACTAGAGAAGGAGAAAAGAATTGTAGAGTGGTTTAAACAGTTTAGCCAAATGTGGGTTTCCGCTGAAAAAGGAAGAGTTACTTTTAACTATACAAAAAATTGTTAAAGATGGAAATTTGAAAACATCGTTTAGAGATGGAAAACCGGGCAAACATGGTTTCAGAGATTTTTAGGAACATCCGAACATCCGGAAATTACAATAAAAATGCCAGAAGCCATTAATAAAGCTAGGTCAATGTTATCTGAACAGTCATTACGAGTCTGATTTAGAGATCTGGAATCATTTTGAAATGATAAAGGAGTTAGTGAAATATTAGCTGATTCTAGTAGAATGTTTAGTAGAAGCTATGCCAAGAATTGGATTTTGGGAAAATCAGAATCCGGCTGGATGCGAACTGATATATTTTTTGAATTTGTTGCCAATGCATTTAATAAATGGTTAGAACAAGAGAAGATTAAAAAACCTGTACTGTTTTTTAGTAAATAGGCATCATTCTCACAGTCTTTAGACTGTAGCATGCAATTTTGTGATGAAATGGATAATTTTATACGCATTTCCACCGAGTGCGATGCACATACTACAACCGGCAGATGTGTTGGTGTTTAAGCCACTAAAAGTGTATTGGAAAAATGCTGTACGAAAATGGGGAAGCGAAAATGAAGGAAAAGCGTTATCAAAACTAAATTTTTGCCCAGTTTTTCGTAATGCATTGCATCATCCTCAGATGCCAACAAATATTAAAAGTGGTGTTAAGGCATGCAGCTTGTTTCCATTTAACCCTGATTACATTGATTATACAAAATATGTTCGTGATACTTTGAAGGTAATTAATGAAAACAGTAAAGATCCAATAGTCCCAATAACTCAAAAAGATCTTAACAGTACTCTTAAAGTACTAACTTTTATAAAACAAAAATGTTCTGAAGAAGGCATAAATATTACGCTCATTGTTGAAATCGTTAACTCTTTACAATTGCAGACCTATTAAATAAATCTTGAAGGTTCTACAGAAACTGCAAATGACATTATTAATTGTGCAGAGTATCAAGTGACTGACGATGGTACTTTACAACCTATTAATGTTGAGCAAGTCAACTTCAGTAAAAACAAATGTAATTCAAAAATTCCTGAAGAAGAAGTAAATACATTGTTAGAAAGTCTTTTAAACCAATCATTGCCTGCTGTATGTACAGTTTTAGAAGTCTTTGAAGACACTCTGTCTGCGAATAATAATTCTATGTTATACAGTCTCAAAACTTCAAGTCCCTTAACAGTTTTACATGATAAAAGTCCTGACATAAATATTGCTTTACAGGATAAAAGTCCTAACGTAAATATTGCTTTACAGAAAAAAAGTTCTGACGTAAATATTGCTGCATCTGCATCCGAAGAATCACCATTTACTACAAACATTTAAAATATCCTTAGCCACTTCAGAAATCTGCTAAGCCCCTTCGTCAACGATTTCCTAGTGCTATATCATCTGAGGCATGGAGGCAGCATTATAATAAAAAAGAAAAATAAAAACGGACAAGCAACACGAAAAGAAAAAGAGATTATTGAATACTAAGCGAAAACTAAATAATAACATGGTGTACAAAAGAAATAAAGTAGTAAAGAAAGTGGCAACTAAGGTATCAGATAATGAAGGTACTCTGTATAATCATCAAGTCAAACAAAAATGTGGTGTTTGTTTAGAAAATCTCTACAGTGATGCTGAAGAAGATAGCGAAAAGAATGTTGGCTGTGACGATTGTCCAATCTGGTATCACCTAAAATGCACTAAATTTAAGGGACATATCTACAGTGAACTGATAGATGACGCTTTTAGGTGTGATGTGTGTGACAAATATAAATTATAACAATTTTTTAAAATTTCAAAATATAAAATTTATTAACCATATAAACACATTACATTGTTTTTAGCCACTTTTTTATCGATATTTTGTATTTATTTCATATCTTCAATAATAATTTGTTCTTGTTATCAATGGATCTTGGTGTTTACGAGAGCAGTATGCATTTATTTATCTACTACAAATTATTTCTTGATTTCTATTTTTTACAATTAAAACTAAACTAACATAGGTGAGTTTCATTGGAGATTTTCCTAATACTACACTGTCTGAAGATGACAATAAATTAAGAGCCGACTACTAACTTATTTCTGGACGACTATAAAATGTACTGGCCATGGACGTATAAATAAAGATATACACACAGTCTGTGTGACACATGTAAATAAATCTTTATTTATATGTCCATGATACTGGCCGACTACTAAGAAAATAGACATAGATTAGTACTATTGATAATATAAATTAAATTTATAATATCTAGTTACTAAAATTACTTAAGAACTTAAGAAAACTATTCAATCTATGCATTAAAAAAATTCTATTAAGAAATTCTAACAGCGTTTTAGTTCTACAGTGATTCGAAATTGACATTGAACAAAACTGGGCAGACTACCAGTCAAATCACCCTACTGTCTCCACATAAGGGAGTAGTAACTGGGACCATATTGGGAGTACATCTATATTATTACTGATCTTGTCTATCTTGACCTATCTTACTCTGTGATCTGTATTTTTATTCAACCTATTCAACTATTCAGACTGTAGTGAAATTAAAAATTCATAACAATTTTTTATTTAGGCAGAGATCTTAAAGTATTGATTCTGACACTGATAACCATATTCCCATTTTCCATAAAACTTTATATAATAAAAGAGTTTTGTTTTAAGTTTGCTTTTCTTGTTTAAATAAAATTCTTCATTCTCAAAGTTATATACTTTAGATATAAACAAGTTTATGTCCATGTGTGCCAACAGTCCAGAATATGACAGTGAAATAGTAGAAAACTCTTAATTTTTTTTATATGCATCAATTTGCTTAAAATTTTGACAGTATTTAAAAAATAGTTCAACAATCAAAATCTACCCTATGGCAATATGTGCTTATCCTCTGGGGTGGCTACCCACCAAACTCGTCGGTGGAAAAGTTTTATAAAAAAAAAACAAATAATTTTCGCAAATAACTCAGGAATTTATCAGGAAACCTGTTTGGATATAAAATGATGCTTATAAAGCAAACAAATTTATTTTCTATTATTATGGTAAACTCAATATTAACAAAGTTATGGCTGTTCGTGCTGTTCGAAGGTAGACTATTATTCATTGAATAACGATAATATCGAAAAATCCAAACATATGATGTTGAATAAGCGGAAAACAGTAAGTTTTTATGAAGAACTTATAGAAAATGTTTTAAAGATCTTAAAAAATGTTTAAAATGTCCACTGGTAATAGTGATATGCATGAAAGCTAAGGCAAGTTATAATTAAAATAAAGTCTGCTTATATTTTTTATGATGCAGAAAGTAACAAATTTCCAACCTCAAAACTCCCCTGGTTGAAACTATTCAGTGTTCATCTAAAATTTACTTAATTTATAGACAAACATTAAATTCTGGAAGTTTAACTGGCTTAGAAGGTTTAGTTTTGTAAAAATCTGATTTTAAAATGAAGACACTATTATCAAGATATCTCAAAAATTCCCTTTTTTTTCAAAATAATTTAACAACTAAAAAAGATACAGAAAAAAAGCGCTACTACAAAAAAGCAATTTTTTTGATTGACAATTTTAATTTTTTCTATTTCTATAAAACAAAAATTAAACGAGATAGTATTGTTTAAAGACAATCTCCGAGCCATTTGAGCTCAACCATTTTTAAAATGAAGGGCTTGAAAAAAAATTAATAGACACCGATTTGCAGCTTTAAATAAATAAAAATATAAATGAAGTTAATTATAATGAGCAAAAATAGTTTCAACCAGGGTAGTTTTGGTGGGTGTGAGTTTGTTATTTCCTGTGTCACAAAAAATATAAGCTTCCTTTATTTTAGTTTAGATAACCTAACTTAATTTTCATGCAAATCACTTTTACCCGTGGTCATGTTAAAGTTTTTTTTTTAATCTCTAAAAAAGTTTCTATAAATTTTCCATGAAAAACTTACTGTTTTCGGCTTATTCAACATACTATGTTTAAATTTTTGTATTTGATGAATAAAAGTCTACTTTCTAACAGGAATAACTTTGTTAATTTAAGTTTACCAGTTTAGAAAAACTGTGTAATGCTTTCTTACATGTAATTTGTGAACTTTCAGTCATAAATAACTCCAAAAATATTACCATCCATCCAATGGCACTACAGCCCAAGCCGGGCCTTGGCCTCCTTCATTAAACCTCTCCAAACATCTCTATTTACTGCTGTTCTTTTCCATGAACGCGTTTTTAGGAGATTTTTGGCATCCTCATCTACCTCGTCTTCCCATCTCTTTTTTGGTCTTCCAACAGGTCTTTTTCCTTGCATTCTTGCTTTTAGTAATTTTCTGGGGATTCTGTTCTCATGCATGCGGGCCACATGCCCTGCCCATCGTAATCTCTGCAGTCTAGTGTATTGTGCTAGTGTTGGTTCAGTGTATTGTTCGTATATTTCGTTATTATTTCTAATTCGCCAGTTGTTATTTTCCTTTATTGGACCCAGTATTCTATGCAATATTTTTCTTTCGAACACGTCTAATGCATTGGTAGATTTCTGTGTTATAACCCATGTTTCACACCCATAACTTATATTGACACCAAAAATATTGACATTTCAAAAAAACTTTAAAGAACATTTTTGTCGTAAAATTTACTATTTTAGTGACTACCATAGTATACAAAGTTTTTTTTTTTGATAAAGTTTTTCCACCCCCCAGTTGAGGTGGTAATCACCCCAGAGGAAAAGCCTATATTGCCATATTGTTCTGAAGCTATTTGCTTGTGGCATTTTAAAGTAATTACTATTTAAGAATAGCATTAAATGGGAATAAGCCACAATTAAAGGTTAAAGTAAGTTTTTTAACATTTATTTCCACTTCGGAAATCGTTCTCAAAATACAAACTAATGTTTGTATTTTGAGAACGATTTGCGAAGTGGAAATTAAATCGTCAATAAACTTACTTCAACCTTTAATTGTGGCTTATTCCCATTTAAATAGTAATATATTGCTGTAATGTAGATTTTGATCTTTGAGCTATTTTTTAACTACTGTTAAACTTCAAGCACTTCATGCATATAACAAGAATTGTTGTTGATTTTTAAATTTAAAAAACTGCATTTTTTACATCAGACTAAGTATATGTTTTTCAAAAGATTGGTGAAGCCTAAACATGTACACTATTGATGAGCAGTTATAAAGCAAAATTAAATAAACATTTACTTTACTGTTCATATTTTAGCTCTAGATATATTGAATAGCTACTTTAGTTTGATGACACTCACTGAGTTCCAGAGTGCTCATATTTTTTTTCTGTGTTTCTTTATGTTTTGTTTGATGGAATTTTGTGCAGTTTATTATTTTGTTTGTAATTCTTTTGCTTTATTGTGTAATGACTTCAGGTATTGTTTCAATTACTTTTCTTAATATCTCCAAACAGACTTTTGATCATGAACTATTTCAATTCATATTTCTGGTTGGTTTTGCAATTGGCTTTTACATCCATTTTGGTTTAATTTTGTGTAACTTAATTGGTGTTGTGCCAACAAATGTATTGACAGTTGTAGCCAGAATATATATTACTAAAATATGGTCTTCCTTTTCTACTGTGTTAAGCATGTCATTTCAGCATGTTTTATCTTTGACATGATTACTTTTTGCCTTCATGTCATTTTATAACAAGTAAATCATTTGTAGTTAATAATTGTAACTGACGTTTTAATCATTCAGTAACTTTTTGTATGATTTCAAAGAATTTGATATTAACATAATATAGAAGCCATATCATATGCTGGCTCTGTATCAAATGCTCTCTCCCAAATCAACATAGGCTTATAATTAAACAGTCACAAATTATATATTAAATAAACATATTGTAGGTATAGTTTTAGACTTATCTCTGTTCAGTCTTCTGAATGAATTCCTTTTTTATTATTATAAAATTATTGTTCTAGTGTTCTAAGGATATATTTTCCAGGTATTTTCTCTTTAAATTTGTTGTGACCTAAATTGTGAAAAACTGATAGTTTTACTAATGATGAAGACTTCTTCAGTAAACTAGTAAATTGTTTTTCAAATGTAATTAATATTTCAACTTTATGATATTTTATGCATCTTTTATTAATTTTGCTTATTGTCATTTAGTACATGTATTTCCATTTGAAAACACTGGATAAATAAAATTTCTGGGTTATAAAATATTTAGGTATCAAAGTTATACAGGTTTGTTGTACTGTCTTTACATTTTCTTCTTTAGTAGTGCTGTTTCTGTTGCTACAAGATAATCTAAGGTAGATTGGGATACTTTTGGCCCAGAACTTTAAGTATATGCACATATTGTAATTTTTGTTGTTGATTTTACTGTAATATTGGTTATAGGTTGGCCAGCTCCAAAACTTAAAGATGTTGAACTAAGTCAATCAAAGGCCAGAGAAATATATAGAGAAATAATAGTCATAATGTGGAAACTCTATAATAAATGCAAATTGGTCCATGCTGATTTATCAGAATTTAACATGCTCTTCCACAATGGGCAGATATTTGTAATAGATGTTTCTCAATCAGTAGAACATGACCATCCACATGCCTTGGAGTTTTTAAGAAAAGATTGTACCAATATTACTGACTACTTCAGAAAAAGAGAAGTTGCTACCTTGGGAATTAAAGAACTTTTTGATTTTATTACTGATCCCAGTATAACAGAAAACAATATGGAAGAATGTTTAGACACATTGGCTGAAAAGGCTGGTGAGAAAACAGAACTTACATCAAATGAACAGGTAACATTCCATTTTGTTAAATATCATTTTAAAATATGTTACAGTCTTAGAGGTTTTAAGAAAAGGTTGTGCTTAAATACAAGCTTTGAATCATAATTCTCTTTACCTTTATTCCTATACAGAGTAAGCTTCCCTAATTACATTTCTATGTAAGTTTCTATCTTTTCTCATACCAATATCTGACTCAAATCTTTTGCTTTTTCGCTATCATCATCATCATCATCCAGCCTCTATTTATCACGTCCACTGCTGGACATAGGCCTCCCTTAAACTTCTCCATTCCTCACGATTTTGTGCTCTTTTTTGCCAATTTTTAGTGATACGCCTGATGTTGTCGGCCCAACGTGTAGGTGGTCTTCCTCTACTGCGTTTGTCTGCTCTTGGTCTCCAATTTGTAATTTTGCTCGTCCATCGTGAATCGTGCATTCTCGCTACATGGCCTGCCCAGTTCCATTTTAGTTCCGCTATGCGTTCCACATTCGCTATATGTATAGCTATTTTATACATCCCTGCTTTAATCTTTTTAGTATCAAGTTAATTGTATAGTGTTTGTATATACTTCTGTTTTAGTTTTTGCTGCTGCTACTGTTGCTTCTTTTTTTGGTTACTTTCTGTATCCTAGATATTTACTTTTCACTACTTAATTTTCTTGAATTACAATATCAGTATCTCTAATAATACTTTCTCTAAATTCTATTAGGACTTTCTTTCATGTTAGACCTTTGATAGACCTTCTTTCTCATCTTTTACATCCATAACTTAATTTTTGTGGTCCTTTTTGATATTTTGGTTTAGTTTCACTTTTTATTTTTATGTCCAGCACAAGCAAACTTATGTTGGTGGCCTACAGTTTCACTAACTATAATACAGCCGCTGAAAAGATAGAATGATCACGTGAATGCTACGCACTCTTTGAATGTTCCTTTCCCCAACGTCGCCACTTTTACACATTTACATTACACCGCTCAACAAAAAAATTTGCTAAAATTATTTGCATTAGTTATTTATTATAAAATTTTACACATGCGTACATTGGAAACCTCTCTGTGATAGAAGCCTAGATTTGCCTTTTCAGGAATCTCTAAATTTCAAACCAAGCAGTATCCTAACTATTTTTTTCTGAATTATAATTGGGTATTTCAACACCAGGTGTTGTCTCTATTTTTATAATGTTCATAGCTAGATCATAAACATAAAAAACAAATAACAAAGGGCCTATGTAATATTGCTCTGTGGGATGCCTACAGTAAGAGAAGTGCTTATTCTCCTTGGAGAAATGCTTTGGTTCTGAGAACAAAATTCCGGACTGTACTTAAAATGGTGCCGTAATTGCTGTCAGGGTCTTCCAATGAGGAATCGTTGTTAACTAAATTATTATAATAGGTTGTAAATGTTGTTCGATAATAAAATGTCATCTACATGATTGACAGCATTTTGTTAATTATTAGCTGTAACATTATTTATTCGCCCTTTACTTGCGCCCAAATTAATTCGTTGGGGTTTAAATCACAATGGTACGGTGGCAACCACAGCACACACCTACCTGTGAGTTTAATCATTTCGTTTACCACATATTTTTTTTTTCTATAGGATGATTTTTCACAAAAGTTAACAGTTCTTCCTTGACCATATCATCAGTGTATAAATTTTTTTTTGTCATAACCAAGTTTGAATATCAGCCTTCCGCGTGCCACTGGTTGGCAATTTTTCATATTTATTACTGTGGTATGATGCATTATCTAAAACAATAATTGCATTTCAGTTAAAGTTAAAACTTTTTTTAACCACCCTTTGAAAAGATTGAAATTTATATCTTCGTGGTAGTCACCCTTTTTCTTAGACTCGAAAAAGAGCAATCCATTTTCCACAAACCAACCCCTAGAACCAATATCTAACACAGTAAGTCTTTTTTGTTTTTCAGACGATGTTTCAATCTTGTATGTAAGCCTTCCACACACGCTTGTCGAGTACTGGTAATTGACATATCAGTCCAAACTTTGTCAACAGTATGACCAGTATTGACCCAAGTCTCATCTAGGTAGAAGAAACCTTTTAAAGATTTTTCTGTTTTTATTGCCTTTCACATCGCGTTATAAGTTTCGACGCCTCCACAATATTTTATTTTTCTCCTTAAACACACAATTTCGGCATCTTTTATTAAAGCTGCAATACAAAATGTTTTAAAAATAATTGTGCTAGAATAGGCCGTGTAAAAACAAATTGACTTCAACAAACAGCGAAAATATGATTTGTCCACAGTATTTTTTAACATTAAAAAATCATACTCACCGAAAATTAATCAAGTTCAAACTACTTTTCACAAAATAACCTTATTTAAATTAGAGATATTATAATTTTCAGAAATTTTCTGCACAATTTTTGGAATTGTTGGAAGCTCTTTATCCAAGAAGAAACTGCGAACTATCCGACGAATCATATTCTTATGCTCATATGTAACTTCATCGAGAATTTTGTTCCCTCTATGGTATGATTCTGGTGGTCTAAATTCGTTATTATTTCCACTATGGTTATGTAAAAGATTATATACTGAGTACTTGTTGATACCTAAATTATAAAAATATAATTATTATTGCTGACATAATATAATGATAATAGTTACGGTAGCATCAGCAGTGAATTTTACAGGATTTCTTGTTCTGCTAGCTCTTGGGATACGGATTTTCTATAAGTGTTCATTATTGCACCTTCTTTCTTAACAGTTAAATGTCTTTTTTTATCTTTTTCTTGGAGGTGAAAGAGTGTTTTCATCCATATTTAATCCACGTAACACACAAATTAATAATAATATTTAATCAACGTAACCCACACAAAAGTTATAGAATTAATATATATATATATATATATATATATATATATATATATATATATATATATATATATAATATATACGTGTATATTCTACTAACAATAATTGACCACTGCATAACAAAACTCACCAGCGGAAATGCAAAACACAAATAATGAATTTGTAAACAGTTCATAGAAGGCGTCGTATCGTACTACCGGCCAGTACCTGCATTCACTGTTCTAAAGCCTAGTCCTCCATGCGTTGCTTCATATCCTTTCGTAGATTGTCCACAAATGCATTAAAACCACCTCCTATTATGACTCTCTCCTCTGATAAAATATGTCTCCTAATTGATTGTTAAAAGTTTTACTTTCATTCTTACCCAAATTGACTTGTGAAGCATACACACACAACATTTAACACTTAATATTATACAAATTTTACTGATATCAATCTATCATTTGTTAGTACAACTTCTACTACATTATCTTCTATTTCTCGATCAGCAATTATACCAACTCCATTCCTGGTGTTACTTTTCTCTACATACAATTTGTATACTTCACATAGGTCTTTGGCCCGTTGTACTTTCTACATCGTCTCTTGAATGCAAGCAATTTATATTTGCAAGCGAATATACCAACTCTATACTCTTACCTGTAAGACTTCCAAGATTCCAATACCCTAGCTTGTTTTTTAACCTGTAATGGTGTCCACTCTGAAAAGAATATTATAGCTGTCGCTATGGTAGACATTGTCAAAGGCCATGCAGTAGAGGTAGAAGCACCAACCTTATAGTCTTATATCACCATTATGGATTAGCTACATTTACGTATACATGAATATAGTGTTTTCATAGTCCTTACATGTCATGCAAAAGCATAAAACTTGATAAAAGAATATTATATAATGAGAAATAAATGGGTTTGAAATGTAAATAAAGTGAAAGATGTAATAAAAGTAGTCGCGGAATAAATTATATATAGGAAACCATTTGAATATCAAAGAAGAAAAGGTAGTCTATAACTCAGATGCTCTGGTTATTTAATTAGATAAACGGATTGATTTAGTTTAAGACAGAAAAGAATGCAATGTTTACAATTATTGTTTTGCTTATAAACAATATATTATAATATTGTTTTATTTTTTAGGTAGATGAAGAAGTTTTTAAACAAGCATATATTCCAAAACGTTTAACCGAAGTCATCGACTTTGAAAGAGACATAAATCAAGCCAAAGCCGGCTTGGCTGATAATCTAGTATATAAAACATTAGTAGGTCTTAAGTCTGATCTTAGTGGTACAATACAAACTCCCGAAATACTAAATAGCAATGAAAATCAATCGGACAGCGGAGAAAATAGTGAATCAGGTTCGGATTCTGACGATTCTGATGATGAAAGTAAATTTAAGGATTGTTCGAGACCAAAACACGAAACTTTAGAAGAAAAAAAGTTTAGGAAAAAGGCAGTTAAAGAGGCTCAAGCGGAAAAACGGAAGACCAAGGTCAAAAAGCATATTAAAAAGAGGAAAGAGAAAGTTTCTTCTAAAAAATAATAACAATTTTTTTTGTGAAAAATAATTATTTAATAAAGATATGTCTTGTTTAATTTGTTTTTATTTTAACCTTTGACCGGCCGCCTTAAATAATTACAACATCGGGTGCGTGGCAGCAATTTGCTGCCATGTAGTTCCTTATTATTTTCGACACTTTTTTAGTTATTGATTAAATGTATCGTTATTTATTTTGTCAAAAAATAACAAAAGTTAACTAATTTTAATAAAAAAAAAACATTTAATTTATTTGATCATTAAAATGTGTACATACAATATTAGATTTAGAATGTTGTTTAGAAGTAAATGCACTACATTTTGTACATTTCATACACGTATACGACCTAATTTTTTCACTGTAACAATTGCAGCATCTACCACATTTAGCAGGATTTTCGTCTTCTTGACGAGGAACTGGTTGCTTCGGAATCATTCTGAACAAGAACTCGGTTATATATCCTGTGGACGTATTTTGATTTGCCATCGTGTATGAAGGTGTCCTTTTATTAATATCATTGCAAGGTTTCTGAGAAAATGTCTTCTTTTGAGTGATTTCGGCCATCTTTTCGTAATTCACTGTATGATGTACATAATTTATCCTTGGTATCAACCCCTCCTTTTGTTTGGTTGTAATTTAAATCAATTGTGGTTTCTTAGTATCCATATCAACTTTACTTTCGTTGTGGATAGACGATAATAATATGACTGACTTACTTTTACGGGGCACATAAAAGATAATCATATAATTATTTTGAAATACAAATATCGTCGCTGTTACTGCAATAGGTCGTATGTCAGAAAAGACGATTTTTCAGGAGATGAAAAAAATGATGTAAAATTCAGGACTTTCGTATTTTCGATCTGCATTTTGCGGACAAGTTTTATTGATCCAGTTATATTAATGTTATAGTAATAGATCAACTAACCGGGGTTTAGAAACTCGTTTTTTATGACATAAGATAATTTGCTTGCTACCACTTGGTTACATTTATCAACATAAGATCTATTGCAATAAAAAATACACCTAATTGTATGGTATTTGAATGTTTTATTTTCTTAAGTAATACAAGGTTACATCTTAGGTATAACATTCAAAAATATAGATTTATTTTCTTCTTGTAAGTGCAGAAGAAACATTTATTTATGCAACAAATTTTCATAAAATACTCTGCAGTCTGCAGGAATAAACTCTTTTAGTTCTTGTAAATGGGCATATTTGGTCGATTCAATTGGACACGGGCCTTCGTAAAGATGAGAACGTTCATCGTTAGTAATTACTGAACGTTGACGATGAGGCACATCGACCCAGGTATCTGAGAATTGCAGTTTGTACAAAATTGTTCCACTTGGATTATATTGAAGGGCACAGATATCGGTCACCATGGGGTCTCCTGCTTTACGGCCGGGCCTTATGCTAGAATAATACTTTGATCCAAATTTATAAAAATCTGTGTGTGTCAATTCAATTACTTGAAAAGGAGAGGGACTATGCCTTGCCTCTCTCATAATACGCAAATAATCAGAAGGGAGGTAGATTTCCTTTCTGCGGCTCAACTTCCGTTCTATTAGACTGTGTACAGAGTCTACCTCCATTTGAGTATGTCCTACCTCCAGATATTTCTGCTCTATCGTAACTGAACTCTTTTTGGAAATGTCGAGTAAGGCATTGGATAGCTTGATGTTTCTATTCTGGTAGCAACATCCATCGCTCCAAATAATGATCTTTGTAGGACAATGTTTGTTAATCTGTTCGTTTAGGAATTTTGTCGCTATGGAGGCGAAAATATCACTTTCAAGACCTCCTTGGCCCTCGTGCCATACAAAGCAAGTAACTGTCTTATTTTTTAGGTCATAGTAAGTCCAGTTATGCACCTTTACCTTTGTTTTGTAGTAGTTTGCTGCCGTATTTAGTCGAGGAGCTAGAAGCACTGCTTGCAGATCTACTGCAAAAACTAAAATACTCTCATTTTCTTGGCACTCAGTTTTGTCATTTTCTTTTGCCTGTCGAGCTTCCGATTTCCTAAGTAGGTGAGCCTGGTAAACTTCTTCCAATATGGATCCACACTTGTAGCCTGAGCATGTATTGCACTGATCTTTCTTTGGTGTCGATATTTCTAAATTTAACTTTTTGAATACTTTGAAAAAAGTTGTCCATGATGCTGAATTTTTGTTTGCATCCCGACACTTATCTTTGAACTTCTACAGTAATGAGACTCTAAGTGTGGTAAATTTGAAAGAAACTCTTCAACGTCTTCAAACTCTTCTGATTTCTGTGTGCTAGTATTATTGTCTAGATGATCCTGGTTGTTTTCCGTTATCCAGTTCTGTACTGTTTTTTCGCCAATATCTAATGTCGATAAAAACATGGCTTTGCAAACTTGTTTTTTAGATTTAGTATTTTGGATTGAATCATCTTCTCCGTCGCTTACAATCAAATAGTATTTCAAACTAACCTTCTTCAGTTTTACTTTGTCTGTTGTTGCGCGTCTATATTTAGGTGTTACTGGAAGAACTAGTTCCCTTAGAAATGTTTTTTTTGCTTCCCAAGAATTTAGATTCCAAAAGTCGTCGAATAGATTTTGCCTCTGAGTGTCAGTTATTTCACAACATTGGAAAGTTTGCCTTGGTACTCCTTTTCCCTTTTTTCAGGTATTGGTCGGTGTCCGTTACATTTAGGCCCTATCTTTCGCTCCTTTTTTAAAACATTCTGCTTGTAAACTCCATCAATATTTTTCTTGAACCCCGTATAAACCTTTCCATGAAGTCTTAAATCTGCAGATTTATTTCTTTTCCATAATTTAGGAATACCTTGGCGTTTACTTTTTCTTTTGTTGCCTTTTCGACCATCGTTTTTGTTATTTGAATCATGATTCTGTTTTTCCATTCGAATAGGTGCATCTTCATTTTTGATATTTTCATCACTATCTTCATCATTTGACGGTTGGTATTCGGACCCAGAATCCTCAAAGGGGTTTTCGGTATCAGATGAAGATTCCTCTTGAACCTCAGTGTTATCTTGGATGGACTCGCCATAATAGCTGTTACTCAAAATCCTTCTCTCCTGAACGCTAGTTCCAGATATTAATAGGTTTTCGTTCGGTATAATTGTAGAGGAATCTTGAACCAAATCTGACTTGTCGCAGTTGTCGCTCTCTGTACTGCAAAAAATAACTTGGTTTGTCATGCTCGTCGAAATACTCATGTTATCTTCAGGATCTGGAGTGTCGGATGTTTCTTCCATTCCTTCTGCTTGGAGAGACAGTTGTACCATGCGTCTACTTCTATTTCCTGAATACATATTGTTACTGAATCTGCAACAAAAAAGAATTCACAATAGATCGTATGTCAAATTAGTGTACTTCAAGTTGGATGACAATTGCTCTTACGTCAATAAATCTGATCAAATAATGATTGTTTATGAAGATTTTCACATAGAATATTATTATCTATAGATATCTATACTTCGTCAGTACGACCATATCATTATCATGTTTATTCTCTAATTGATATCAATTTGAACATTAGGCTAGATTTTTTAGGTTAGGATATCTAATTTTTAATCACAAGCAAAAAGTGATGTGAAATAATGGTAAATGAGTGGCTTACCTTCTATCACTAAATCATAAGAGCTTTTAAAACATTCAACACATATACTACTAGTATATTTTTGCTTCAGAATGAACAAAAATACGTAAGAAACAAGCCAACGTGACGCCTCCTTCGCAGATGTTTGAGGTAACCAATTTCAGACCATCACTGCATAAGACATATTAGTTAGGTGCGGCCCTCCATTAATATGCGGTATTCACGTATGAGGTTTTGCAATATGCTAGAACTGATGATTTTGGTTAGGAATATGCATTAAACTGAAAAGTGAATAATTTTGACATACGACCTATTGCAGTAACAGCGACGATATGCTAGATTGAACTGCTTCTGATTTATGTGTAAGAAATTCTTGAAGAATTTCTCTCTTATTTTTCTTCAGCGTCCCAAGCAAAGTAACTTTGCTTGGGATAAAAATTATCGGTTATGTTTCTTCCCGTCATTTCTATGGACTCTATTAGACGTTTTACATACTGCTTACCGCAATATTGGCGGTATAAAATGTTCGAGTATGACACAGTGGATAGATTTTTATCCCGTAATTAGCAAGTTTGTTGGATATATATTGTATCCAACTACATATACTTCTGGAGGGATGAAACATTTTATCAATTGTATACTCTGACAAATTGTATGAGTTTTAAAATTTTTTTACAAATTTATCACAAAACGATAGTCAGCTTATCTATTTTACATCTAGCACCCCTTGTGTGTATATAATTAAATCTCAATGAACGTGCAATGGATAGGAAACGGTTACAGCTTATAACTGCTCGAACAATGTCAATCCCGTCATCTTTTTCTTAAAGTTCAATCAGATTTGTATGATTGCCGTGCTTTATATCAATCAAATAGAGGAATAGAGTAGTAGAGTAGAATAAGAAGGCGAACAACTCACTCCTGTCCTCATTTCTGCAATCTCTATTAAATATTGCATTTTATTTGTATGTTCATTTATATAAATTGATAAAAATTATGATTTCATCAACGATATCAATATTGATAATAGTAAAAAACCCATAATTTTCTGTTTTTATTTGACGTGCAGTTCCTTTCAATCCCGGTGGTACTCTTAGTATGTCTATCAAATAACTATAATATCACTCTCCAATATCTAATCTGTTTCGTCTTCAATATCTGTCATATTATTTAGAATTTCCTCTAATTATGCTCGGGTTAACATTTCCTTTGTATTTTTATGAGACAGGACGTAATCTAGAATTATAAAACATGATATAATATAGAATTCTACAATGATCTATAATATGTTTTAAACATAGAATTATTATTAATTTTTATAAATAAATTACTTACCAGGAAAATTTC